CAGGAGCCGCGCCGCACATCGCTTTCATTTGTCTATTTTTGTGAGCAAGTGAAACCAATTTCCTCACTTTAACCGCATCTTCGCGGGCTATTGCATGCATTAAAAATCAGTTCCGGATTTTGTAGGGATTATAAAATTCCCACAGTAATACAAGATACATTTAGAGGGCTGGGGAATTCCTTTTCAATCAGATTGTAAGACATAGAAGGGGCAACGTACCGCGCCATCTCGGCCAGCTCGACCTGGATGGATATAAAAGCTAAAGCACACCGTGACAGTAAAACAGAAAAATTAACGGGACTTACCGGTTTCTTGATAGAATCCTGTTTTTAGAGAATACATCAATGTCTTGGAAGTGGAAGCATTTGGAATTGCAAATAGAGACTTACCTTCAAGGCCTTTTGGTAAATCATAGTGAATAACATAACTGCTTTTGTCTTGAGGACATGCCGGCAGAGGCATGCCAAAGGTCTTACCGCACGTCGCTTTTATCAATCCCACACCCGAATGCGATGGTCGCGACCACCTTAAAAATTGTGTTAGCGTGGGCAATGGTGATACGCAGCTCAAAAGAAGTACCAAGTCAACACCGCCCTCACCAGAGCCGCCTATTTGCCAATCTTCTAACGTCTTGAAGAGCGTTACTGACCTTGATGAAAGAGCAAACGGCACAGCAGTGTTAGCGAATGGTTTGAAGCCCAGGGGTTAGAATTAACATACTTAAGGCCTTTATGGTAAGGGCGGGCGTTAAGACCCTTGGATCGGAGATACGCCGAAAGTTCGTCACATGTTGCTCTCGTGCGGCAATAGACAATCCCAGATGATGGTCGCCCACGGCGAGAGTGCAGTGTGCTAATGTAATCGTATATGTCTGCCATTTGCGCAGCTGGGGCTGGATTAGGCAAATATCGAACCTGGAAGACCAGTAAGACAGTACATGAAAGATAGAGTTGTTTATTAGCATGTGAGATGCAAGGACTCGAACCTACCTCATAATACAAATTGGGGCGATTGAACGGGTGAATAGCCCGGTATGTTTGATTTGACATCTTGAGAGATGTAAGAATGTCATCTTGAACCCTGTCCGAAATACAAAAGTAAGGTGAAGATCATGTATAACATTTTGATGTGTATTCACGCTGCTGTGGCACTTGCTGTTAAGGCCATGACCGGGACATCCGGAAAACGATCACGAAAGATACCTAGGCGACGGTAATCCTGGCGGAAATCATGTCCCCATTCCTAGCAGGGCTAATTTAGGGCGGGGGACAGCCTATGCTAACAAGAAGATGGTCCACGTACAGAAATACAGTGCGCCTGTTGCAAACTGTCAAGACGTCATGTCGTATACGTAGAATAGCGGCATACCTCGTCTACCACGAGGCGATTCAGCTCTTGATTACTATGTACTTTCTCTAGTACGTCTAAAAACTCTCTGTTGCACAACTTCTCTGGTGTAACTGTGCCTTTCGTCGTTTGATTTCCCAGCGCAGTAAATCCGCTAAAAACTCACGATAGAGAAGACGATAATTTGGATGACCGGAACGCAATTCCTGTAGAATCTATTGCGAAATTCGGTCAAGACTTGCCACAATGATCCATCAAAATGAAGACCGGCCTGTTGCTTGTCATCTACCGAGATCTCCGAGGTAAATGCAACAACAGAAACATCGAGCTCTCGGAGTTTGTCTACTTCTAAAAGCGACGCAGCGTCCTGATTTTATTAAGAAAATCTACGTCTAGAAGTTGGCTTACGGTTCTTCATCAGGGCTGAAGCCAGGAAGAGAAAGTCAGAAAAAAGAACAGCGAGATGCAGCAAATCATACCTAGGAGGGGAGATACTACAATCGTTATTCCATGCTATGTGAGAGGATATTTGGGAAATCGGAAGGGAATCTGATGATGGTAGCATTTTACCTCATCGGCGATGGCAGGAACTTGGAAGCAGAGACTCTGAGAGCATCAGGAAAATTAATGTCATAAATTGGAAGGATTATCCTAACAAACCTTTCCCAAACCTGTGGGTGCTATGACAAGCACATCGGCACCTATTTGAATGACATCCGTCAGTCTTAGGATAAACTGAGAAATCACAGGGAATACCCTGGATTGCCGCTTCCACAATCTCTCGTTGTTTTCCTTTATACGCGGTGTGTCCGAATACTGAGATGAGGGCCATGTGATGAAATCACTACTCAGTCTTTCAGAATCGAAAGAACTTACCCTCAGCTAAAACTCTGATTTCTCATTTAGCAGGATGCGCTACTACTTGAAATGACCCACCTATTGCAAGTCAGAGAAGTCTTTGAGATTTTTGTAATCTGTTCTGGTTTCTCGAATGATGCTGAGCTTGAGGGACTTGTCATGGTGTCGTAGCAGACGCGTCCACGCGTAACGCGCTGTCACGCGAGAGTGACTTGTTTGTCACTGAGTTGCTTATCTATGGTCACTCGCTTCAGGCCCTTCCCGTTGCTTTCACAATTCTTAGATATTTGACTAGCCTTCGCATCCCTGGTATGCATCTCACATTCACAGCTATGGTCTCTTTAGGAGCCGTGGCTGCGGCTCTTTCGCAGACGGTGCAAGAAGCCGCTCGGTGGGGTCCTGGCGCAGTCAAGATGTACATGCTCGAGCAAGATCTCAAGCAAGATCACGGGGTGGGACGCCATCTGTGTGTTTCGCTCACTTGTGTTTATATTTATGAGACAATTTTGATGTGGAGTTGGTTTTTCCCTTCAGCTTGGACCCATCACCCAATCAACAACCGCTCCTCGCATCTCTCTATGCTGAGTTCCCCCCACGTTATTTTACCCAACCTCTCAATCATTTCGATTCTTCAAACTACACGTTTTTGCAGAGATATTGGGTTTCAACACGTCACTATCAGAAGGGTGGCCCAGTGTTTGTGCTTGACGGCGGAGAAACTTCAGGCGAAGATCGACTGCCATTCCTTGATACCGGAATTTTGGATATTCTCGCAGAGGCAACAAATGGCTTAGGCATTGTTTTAGAACATAGATATTATGGTTCGTCTGAATTTCAGTTCACGACCATCACTGCAAGACAACACCTCAGGTACCTCTATACCTGTTGCAAACTTCAGTACAGACTCTTTGCGGCGGGTCATATATTTTTATTTCGAGAAGTAAAATTGATATAATCCAAATAGATGGCTTAACAACGCCCAGTCAGCCGCTGATTCTGCTCATTTTATGGCTAACCTCAAGGTTGATGGGATAAATGAAACCATCGCATCGCCAAGTAGGCCCTGGATCTATTACGGGGTAGGCTATTATATGAGCGATGTTTTTTTCTCTCAACGATCTTCAGGGGTCCTACGCAGGTGCTCGAGCAGCACATATGCGTGTATTATACCCGTCTCTTGTTTTCGGCTCCATAGCATCCAGTGCTGTTACTCACGCAGCCCTTTACAATTGGGAATACACCGACCTTATCAGGAATTATACCGATCCTGCATGTCGAGAGGCGATAGACTATTCCATCGGCGCTGTTGACCGTTTGTTGAGTAGGGACTTGACACGTATTTGGGTAAAGAGCTTGTTTGGTCTTCGGGGCCTTCGACAAGATCAAGACTTTGCGTCAATTTTGCAGGTCTGATCCCTTGTTTTCTCACAGCGATTACCTTTGTGAACTCGTCATGCAGTCACCCTTCGGATCGTGGCAATCCATGAACTGGGATCCGACCGTTGGGTCTACCAAGTTTCATAACTTTTGTCATGCACTCGTTGGCACAAAGCCCCATGGGTGGGGCGATGTTGTCGTCAAGCATTTGAACGTGGCAGAGCTACAGACGCTTGGCAATGTGTACCCCGTTGATTACCCCGTTGATTCATTAGCCGAGGCGGTGAACAATGAAAGGTTTCATTTTGCATTGTTTAATTATGCAAGATACATTAGAGAGGTGCGTAATAGAACTTTGAAGTTCTCCGAACAATACTAGATCTCTGTGGCAGAACGTCGTCTCTAGGTGCCCGCGTGACATGACAGTGGAGGAGGTACTTGGGCCGGGAACTGAATGCGCGCAAGTCTGATTTTCGATATCTACTTCCAGTGCTTCGGAACAAGTGACCCAACTTCTTTCCAAAATACGTCGGTATCTTCTACTTGGCGTGCTTGGACCTTCCAAGTCTGCACAGGTATGGCGATACACTGCTGCTGCATGCTCTGGGTGACATACCTTCGTTATAGAATGGGGATACTTCAATGTGTTTCAGTTTTCGTGTGCATCCTGACTATTGAGATACTCAAACTATGTTTGTGTTCTATGATAGACTGCACCGCCTGACCCCAATCATCCTACGTTTCAATCACGTCTTCTCGATTTAGAATATGTCTCTAGGATATGCAGACTGGTTTGTTTGGGACATCCTCAAGGATGTGTCCTCCAACTGAAGCTTAATATGCTTAGGCTTTCCCACCTGGCGAGCATTTCATTGTGCCATCATGGCCGAACGTGACGGCTGTCAACGCTCTCGGAGACTTCGATATCGCAGCTGACCGACTCGCTTTCGTGGATGGCGAAAGTGAGTGTTTTTATTGCTGCATAGGAAATTTATCTCTGCTGTGAAAAATTACGCTTATTGCATCTGTTAGTCGACCCGTGGCGTCCTGCCACTCCCCACAGCGATTATGCATCACCGCGCAATGATACAATCCTCAGGCCCTTCAAACTCATTCCTGGTATTGTCACTTCCCCCCGAATCTGACATGCATTTAATTGTTTTCTAATATAGGCGGTGTACATCATTGGGACGAAAACGGCCTTCGGGACTCGGAACAGGAACCTGCTGATATACAGAAGATTCACGGGGAAGAGGTTGAGTTTGTGAAAGCTTGGTTAAAGGACTGGGTGGATAGATGAAATAAACTTATATGTAATATATCTCTCACGTCAGAACGGCGCAAATCCTGCGGCGAGCTTGTGATGTATGAATGTATTGAGTGTTGATTAATATAACACAAGGGCTTTTCTCGCAAGAGCATTAATGGGGTAGTGGTAACCTTGGTCGTTGCCATTAGGTTATTTCGACTAGCCGCGAGTTCAATTCTCGCTTAATGCATTTTTAGGTATTTTTCCCAACTCTGCTCAGCTGAGCTCTTCCGATCGTCCGATGTGATATGCTGTGAATTTGGCCGTGGAGATTGAGCTTCCTTCTGAAGCATAGGCGTTATACGGATTCAATTCTGCAGCTTCGCTCGCTTAGTTGGTGTATGAAACTATTCAAGTTCTTTTAAACTTGAAGAGACCAGGTTTTTCTCTTTACCGTTTCTTCACACCTGCAATGGCCCCCCACCCTCTCACAGGCAAGGACGCCCCCAGTATCACCCTGCCTAATCAAGACGGGGAGGAGACGACTATCAAGCCGGGAAGCACAGGGACACCGTTGGCTCTATTCTTTTACCCTGCTTCTGGTCCGTAGCGGTTTCCATAAAATCATCCCATCTTGTTATCTCACACAAGGCGTTTCCCTAGGTACCTATGGTTGTACAAAGGAAGCATGCGCTTTCAGAGACGCATTGAAAGGTTTCCCTAGTTCCCTTCTCATATCGCCGTATTAACCGATGTTTCATAGACGTAGAGGTGTTCAAACGCTCAAACATTACTGTTGTTGGTATTAGCGGCGACGCGGTTGTGAAGCAGAAGCAGTTTGTTGATCAGCACGGGCTACCCTATCCTGTGTTGAGCGACTCGAAGGGAGAGGCACGGAAAGCCTATCAAGTCAAGAAAGGACTCTTGGGTTTAACTGAAGGTAGATGAACTACCTACTATTCTAAACCAATAGCTGATTCATTGGGTATAGGACGTGTAACATTTTTCATTGACTCCAAAGGTGTCGTACGAGGTGTCCTAAGCTCGGTGATCAACCCCAACGAGCACGTTTCGTTTGTACGCAAGTCATTGACGGCGCTGGAGGAAGAGGCAAAGGCATCGAAGTCTACTCCTGTCTCTGAACCGGCACCTCAGCCTGGCCCAGTTGCCGAGCCGGTAGAATCTGTGGCAACATGAGATCCTGAAATCCTGAATAATCGTATGAGAATATCACACGCATACATAATGATGGTATTCGCGAAATCTATCGTCTGAACTCCAGAGGCCGAAGGAATTTTACATACCCGATACTGTGAATGTTCCGACGGGCAAAAAGCCTGAGACTAATAACCTCCCATCCAGCGTCTCCCGTTGCGGCGGCGACCGCTCGCGGTATAGAGCTCGTGTAGCGTCGTGGCCTCAGCATAAAGCAACAACACCATCGTTAACACCAATAGCGTCGTCCAGGTAAGGCGAACCAGTGAAAACTTTGTGAGGGTATGCTCGAGTAGTGTAAGGTCATGACGTTGTAGCTTTGAAGCTTGGCGGGGAACGGGAGTCGGCAGAATTTATTATGATCTGGTGTTATGTCGCAAGTGAGGCATGAATATTAAGCATAGATATGGGGGGGTTTCAGTGTCCCATTAGTACTTGCTGTCAATGTGTCATCCGGCAGATAATAACTTGTCCTCGTTTAACGTTATGTAAAGCAAAGATTATCTATGTGCAAATAATTGGAAACAAAGAAGAATACTCATAAAGATATTTACAGACTGCCAGCTGCTCGTGTCATCTGGTAAAATCGAGTGAGTGAAACCATGGCGACTTGTATGTAGCTAGTATCTCATCTGATTGGCCTTGATTAGCCCTCTTCCTCTTCCCTTCAATCACTCATATCCGGCCGCCGCCTTGAGAATAAACTTGGTTGCAGGAAATCCAAGGCAGCTATTCTCGAATTTAATGAGGCTGCAAAGTTCAAAGTTGTGGTGAAGCGCTGAAAACAAACAAGAGACAACCAAGCCGCTCGTTGTTCCCAGCGTCCTTGGACAGGAGGCAACCTTGCCTGAACCCTTCACTCTTGGTGTTTCTTTCCACCTTAATGCTTAGCTACGACTCTCAATGACCACTCGCCGTCCTTCATTTGCTCCTTCGCCTCGTCCTTCAAGTGCAATTTTCATTGGAGGCGGACTTCCGCCGTTGCCCTTACCCTCACCCCCTTCTCCAGCGCGTTCTTCAGCTTCGACTCACTCTCAACTTCCTTCCCCGCCGGCTACCGCCTCTGGGAGCACGGGGGACAGCAATTCAACCTCTGCAGGAAGCGTCAGGCGCGCAGGTATGCCCAACGTCAACAGGCTTTCGTCCCTGAGCGATGATGACGATGATGATATACCAAACCACGATGAGGATGATACTGCAAGACTTTCCAACGACAGACGCCCCGGAAAAACCAAGGAGTCGGATTATAATTCCTCGACTCTCCAACGTGTCAAAAGCCTGACCGAAAGAAATAGAAAGGTCTGCCTTTTTTTGCTTCTATAATGAATGAATACATGGCTCATTATTATTGTACATACTTCTCTATCTACTCTTGCCGTTCGTTGTATGCGCTTAATTCCTTGTCATGGTGGCATATTCTTTTACTGTTAACCTTTGTCGCCGACATCGATGGATCTAAACCCATCACTCTCTCAATGATGTCTCTACACTTGGATTAGGTCATTGACAAACTCTCTTCTATCACCTCTCCTGAAATATTATCTCGCTCCTCACTCTCGACGCCGTCTGACCCTTCGAACACATCTTTGCGGTCTCGATCACCCCTTCCGCCTACCTTTTCATCATCATCTTCATCGTCTGCAGCCAGTTCCAGTTCTCGTGTGTCCTTTGCGCATTCTCCGCGTGGCTCCGGTTCCGAAACCGAGCGCGAACAGCAGCATCCTGATCGTATACGCCCTTTTCCTCGAGATACCCACCCACATTTGCCCATAGACAACGATGCCACGACGCCACCAGCAACTGCACGCCATGTTAATCCACTTTTTGAACGAACCGGACCCCGCCAGCGTCTTATTTCTGCACCTTCTTCTCCGGCTAAAGTGACATCTCCCCTTCCGCCAAACAGTCCTCGCAAACACCCATCAACATCGTTTGCGGTTATCGGCTCTGGCAGGCGATCACGTAGGGTGTCAATTCAGCAACCAAATGACGACGAGGAGTTTCACGGTCCTCCACAAACGGCAAATGGGAGCGCAAATAAGAAATCCAGAGCACCGTTACCAAGAGAATTTCGTGACCGTATGAGTCTTGACGGCAGGGTGGGTATACACTTTCCTCTATTTATTATGCTTGGCTGAATAGAGCACAGTCCGTTGAGGAGGGCTCTGCGCCGGATCGTGAGCACAATACCTCTCCGGGAGTTTTGGTTGCTCGTGGGGCCGCCTCTCCACACTCCTCTGGTGCGGCCGGGACATTTTCTTCACCTACCTCCCCACGTTCGCAACGACCCGCTCGTCCTTCGACTGTGCGTGAGTCGTCAAGACGTGGACAACGCTGGAGTTCTGTTGATGAGGCATCGCTCAATGGGAATGGGAACAGTCTGGTTGGTGATGAAGATAATGGGCGGCGACAGTGGCGCCAAAGTGGAAGCGCGGAGAGCCCACTTGGTGGAAGAGAAGGCCGAAGCCTCGTGAACGAAGGATTGCGAGCTGCCGGCCTCGCACCCCGTGGATCTGAGGATGTCTTTGTGGATGGTGTGCCACGGCGTCGGACGCGGGTTAGTGGTGGATTGGAAAGTGGCATCAATGGTAGTCGAGAAGGAGAAGGAGATGCTCTGCGGCGTGGTGTTTCTCGTGTAAGTCTCGGGAAGGTCGAGGATGAGCGTGAACGTGATCCCCGGACGCCGCCTTCTGCCACTGGATCCTCACGGTTCGGCACAGCACGCAATATCCATAGTGTTCTCTCTAATTCTTCTTCACGAGCTGCCACATCTCTCGCATCGTATGGTGGAGATGAAGATAATTCCCGCAACCTACGATCCTATCGATCGTCCTATATACTCCCGGAACGAACAGCTTCACGTCTCACCCCACAACACGAGCGTTCACATACATCACCGTATGGACGAAGCACACCGCACTTGCAACCTGCGTCATCGGAGCATGCCCGGCTTATGCTTGATTCGCTTACTATGTTTGAGGCTCAATTAACCCGAATACCTTCGTCGTCATCAGCCCCAGACCTGTCGCGTGTGGCCCAAAGCGTGGTACAAAGTGCAAATGGACTGAATACCTTGCTACGTGCAGGGAACGCCCACGCGCTTGAAGCGCAGATTGAAGCAGAAGTAGGTGAGGCTGCTGCTCAAGTTGATGCGTCTGAGGTGTGGCGACAAGTTGGTGGTGAATATCGCGAAAGTTTGAGGGTGAGTGATGAGCTAGTGCGGACAGTGACGGCGCTTTTGTTGGGCATTGGGAGACTTGTACGGGAAGCGGTGAAGGAGAGGGGAACGGATTCGCCGGATGTGAGTGGGGGAGGTGGAGGGAGCGGCCGGTCGAGTTTGGATGAGAGTGATAGGGCAATGAGGGCGTCTCGCGGTCCGACTGAGGTCGGTGGACGACGTAGTGTGGAGGGATTAACATATCGAGAATCACGGCGAAGCTGGGAGGACAATGATGGCTCTATGAGGAGGGCCAGGGTGGATCTTGGCAGCCGGCCGTCCACATCTCTTAGCATGACTCGTGATCGAGACCGAGAATTGGCACGAGAAGACGATGGCGATGAAACAGCGCGCGAGAAAGGATCTTCAGCATTGCAGCGCCTGTCTATTCGGCGCATGTTCACTTCTCGTGCTAGAGATCCCATCCTTGCGTCGCCTGTAACGCAGACTACACCAGATCATACCTTACCATCGCCGAGTCCCGCTTCTCGCATTTCTCAGGACAGTGAGCATCGTGTGCCACATCGAAGTTTACCGCCTCTGGCGGTCCCTCCACCGTTGCCATCCCTGCCTTCAGAGGCCGACCGCAAAAATTCTACCAGAAGTCGCCGTGCAAAGTTTTCAAACACATCTAACGCCACAGTGCGTGGAGCTTCCTCCATTTTCCCTGCGATTAATTCTCCCAATCCGACGACGGCACTTTCAGCGCACACCGTGAATGCTTCGGGTGAAGTGACATCATTCCCTTTACTTCGCACTGAGACAACGGCGCTCAGTGGCCTTCAGCAACAACACCAGCGTGATGTGCGCAAACGTTC